CTGCCCCGCCACCACCCACACGCCCCCCCCACCCCACCCAGGAACCCCACGAGCTGCTGCAGGGAGGGGGAGCAACACCACCGGGACGCCAGGCCGTCGAGGGGAGGGCCAGACGCCGTCGCCGCGGGAGGTCGCGCCCCGCAACATACACCTCCAGCACGCGGGAGAAAGAGGCTGGGGTGGGGGTCGAGAAGAGGCGGTGCTAGGGTTGGCTCCCGGAGTCGCCCGCGGGAGCGACATGTCTGTTTAAAGTCTTGTGTGGTTGTATTGGCTTGACGCGGGGATTAGATAAATAGAAGCATAAAAAAGGGCAGCCCGGTGCACGTAGCTCCTGCTTCCGCAGGGTCCGACCACTTTGGGTCGATAGTACGCAGCCTTTCCCTACATTTCTGCAAGAGGCTGTTTCCAGGACTCGAACCCGTGACCTCATGGTAACCAGGCAACAGATTTACCGCTGCGCCGAGGCTCCCCTTCTATAAATAGAAGCGTCCATTATCAAAATATTAATACTGGAAATGAATAATAGTATCATAAAGTGTCCGTTCTTTATTTGCTCATTTTCCAGAGAACTTTCATCAATAAAAATATCACAATTGCAAGGTATTTCATTCCCACCTGGTGCCTTCTTTTTTGTTGTTTCATACCAATCAACTGACAGTTCAGTCCACCTACCTGTAATCACTGGGTTGGTGATGTAATTACTGCACATGGTGGAAGTTCTTTGAGGAATATCTTGACCTGCTTTCATTAGTGTAGAAAATCTCTGACATATCTTGCTATGCATTTGTTAGTATGGCATAAGATAATTTGAATATCGGCTCATTACGTTTTGAGTTATGTGTTCATTGTGTTCTGCTTTATGTTTGCTTCCATGCTTATGAAAATGGAGTTAAAAAATGCCTCGCCAACCAAACTTAATCACAGAAACATTATTATGTGAAGCAGTTTAGAGTATGAACCTAGAACCCAACTTGCGTTCAAAAAATGATCATACAAATGGAATGATCTTGGTGTTTTGTTGTTCTCATGCTATGTATTTTTGAATAATCATTAGCTTAAGTTCATATCACTGATGAATTAATATGGGTATCAATATCTTCAGGCACTATGTCGATGTTCCCGGGGATGGATCTTACGAAAATGGATCCTCCAACTCTTACCCTCCTTGGAGCAGCTTGTTGTGTAATGTTGTCTATGCATTTCACAGTACAGCTGGTATCACAGCATCTTTTCTATTGGAAAAATCCCAAAGAGCAGAAGGCTATACTCATTATAGTGCTGATGCCTCCATTGTATGCTATAACTTCCTTTGCTGGTCTTCTGGATATTAAGGGAAGCAAAACATTTTTTACATGCTTGGAGTCTGTTAAAGAATGCTATGAAGCACTGGTGAGTCCTCTTAGGTTGATGGCATTTTTTCACCTGAAGTTTGTGATTTCACTCACTTTTCCTTCTATTTTTTATTTCAATTCTGCAGGTTATTGCTAAGTTTCTGGCATTGATGTACAGCTACTTAAATATATCTATCAGTAGAAACATTGTACCTGATGAAATCAAAGGGAGGGTGCTTCATCATTCTTTCCCTGTTTCTCTTTTCCTGGTATCTTTCTTACACCCTTCTATACACTTATAGAATATTTGATGAGTGTTCCGGTAATCTGCTCTTGAATTTTTGTAATGCAACCTGCACTATTAATGACAAATTAATAAGGGGTCCTAGGTGCATACCCATACTGAGCCTTACCATATCTGAAGGATGCTGTATTACTCAATAATATTAAAAGGATTCATGGTGTTAACAGAAAGGTTTATATATTCCATCCACAAAGTACTAATTCAGTTGGTAATATCTTTTTAATTGAAGCATGTACCTATGTGTAGTCATGCATGCTTAAATTATGATTTTAACCTCCATTTCTTCATGTGTTGTTCACTAAATTTTCCTATATGCATTTGAATGTTGTTGTCTTCTGAACCTTCCTTTGCATCATTTGTCCATAATTGCATATTTGCACCTATAACTGGCATATGTAATCTGGAAGCTATTGGCAATACTGTTGATTTAGGCTTTACACCTTGTCCAGTAGTTTTACTTTGTGTGTACTGAAAGTAACCTATATGCTTCACTTTGGCAGCCCCGTAATGTTCGGTTGGAGCACAAGACACTTAAGCTTCTGAAGTACTGGACCTGGCAATTTGTTGTTGTTAGGCCAGTATGCTCCATTCTGATTGTTGCACTTCAGCTGCTTGGGTTGTACCCCAGCTGGGTCAGCTGGACCTTCACAATTATACTTAACTTTTCAGTCTCCATGGCATTATATGCCTTGGTCATATTCTATCACTTGTTTGCTAAGGAGCTGGCACCTCACAAGCCTCTTGCTAAGTTCTTGTGCATCAAAGGGATAGTCTTCTTCTCTTTCTGGCAGGTAAAAATCACATCCTCTGCTGGCTGGAAAGACTTAATTTTCTTATAAATATCTTTGGGGTTAGTTTTCTGTGTATCTGAATGCTATTGATGTAATGTACACCAGTTTGTCTTAATTATTGCGTCTGAACATTTGGCTGAGGAAGCGATATTGGTTTAGTAATGTTGATTGATAGTTTAGACCTTATGTTCCTTCCATATTTGTGATGATTTTGCGCAAAGCTTCTTCTCTCACTCACTCTTTGGATTTTGCTCTGCATGGTATTTAATCACCTTATTTTGTTATAGCTGATGATTATCAATCTAGGAGTTTCATCTGCAGTTTAGTTTCCCATGCCTTGCCGTAAATGTTTACGAGTATAAATCAGTTAACTGGTTCACCTTTTTAACGCACAACTTCGTTGCACTAGAGATTTTCTGTGGACTTTTATTGTGAGCTGTGAGTGAACCCTATTGTCTATGGATGCTTCACGCAACATTCTAACATGCACTTGTTCACTGTAGGGAATTAAAAGCAGTATCCGAATACAACACCTGTTCCATTTTGTAACACAGTTACTTTCTCTATCAAATGAAATATGATCAAACTCCTGAATCTTGAATGGTATTGTGTTTTTGCAGGGCTGTGCGTTGGATGTTTTGGCTGGTGTAGGGGTTATTCAATCTCACCATTTCTGGCTGGACGTGGAGCACATCCAGGAGGCAATCCAGAATGTGTTGATTATCCTGGAAATGGTCATTTTCTCAGTTCTCCAGCAGTACGCGTATCACGTTGCTCCGTACAGTGGCGCTGACAAGGCAAAATTCGAGAAGAAGAATGAATGACCCGCCAAGCAACATAAGCAGCTTGTTCTTGTATGGTTTTGTGTGTATGTGCTGGGGATATGTTATAGACATGAGTACTTCCTTATGGGCACGTGTAGAGTGAGCCGTTATACGTTGAACATTAGAAAAACGAGATGATCAGGAACATAGAGGAATGCCACTGTTATCTGCGCTGTGAAACTATGTAATGCCCGAATAAGGAGAATTTTGGAGTTTTTTCCGCTCCGAAGTGGAGTCCTGAATAAATGTTGGTTTCGTGTTGAAATCATGGTGTGTCCATGTTGTTTGCTGAACTTAACGCAGCACTACATAAGGTGTTTTTTTTTCAGGAGTGTGGACTTTTGGTGACCGAGCTCCAAGGAGCTTGGTGCTTTAAATTTTAAAAAGTTGAGAAGGCATTTTAGAAATACATATTTGTCTTTTCTTTTGTATGCCTTGTGTGAAAGTACTTCCTCCATTCCTAAATACTCCATCCATAATATAAGAGCGTTATATTATGGGACGGAGGGAGTAAGTCTTTTTAGAGATTTCAATATGAACTAGTACATATGAAGCAACTGGAGGCTGAGAATTGGTGGAAATTACCACTATGCCCGCTGCCTGAAAATTTCTATATAGATAGTTCAAATTAGAATCTCTAAAAAGATTTACATTTAGAAACTGAGGGAGTATGTTGTTAAGAAATTTTGCACATACGTGATATACAACACGTGTACGAGTGTTGACAGGATATTTCGATTTTTCTCACGTTGTGGAAAATTGTACTATTTTGAAAAGGAGCTCCCTGGTGCTCGTGGTTTTGCAGAGAGTATGTTGCGGTGTGGTTTGGATGGATCACTCGCATAGTATGTTGTGAGAGTGCGAAAGAGAAGTGAAGAGAAAAAGGAGGAGCGAAAAGAGAGTGGAACATGGAAGTGATTGGTTGGGGTCCAGTCTGTCTACTGTATAGGTGGTACCTGAAAGGGGAGCGGACCGCACACAGTGGCATGGTGGGCACGGCCACTGACTGGTGTGTGTGGTGTACGTGTACGTGGGGTCATGTGCAACTCCTGTAGATTCCTAGTACGGCCCCTTTGTCCCGTGACCTTTTTCATCAGCTATGCTACCCCAGCTTTTAACCATGGTCACAAGTCTCATCTCTCCTCTTGTCCTAGCCTACGCACCCAGTCTCCTGTAGACTCCACACTCCAGTAAGTATTTTTCCCCTCTTGCCCTCTTCCATTATTACTGTATATCTACTGCTCCAAAGAGTAGAAGTAACTTAATTTTAATAAATGACTGTGTGCATCAAGAGATGCAGAGGCTAGGGTATGCCTCCTATTCGAAAAAAAGAAGTGGTGCCACTCAAAAGCAACTGGAGGCTGAGAATTGGTGGAAATTACCACTATGCCCGCTGCCTGAAAATTTCACCATAAACACAGATTTTTTTTTTCGTTTTCTTTTTGGGACGGGGTAGGATTTGGAGCATCATTATTTTCGCGAGACATACACGGTGTTAAGGATGGTGCACTGGCGCATGCCACGCCACGCCAGACACCACCATATCGCACTCACCAAAAAAAAGGTGCTGAGGATCGTAACTGGGAACCTTGTCTGCACGCGGAGGCAGGCCATCGATCGATCCAGGGCCCCCCGAATCGCACAGTGACTGACACCGAGAGGGCAGTGGGAAAAAGATGTAGAGAGAGAGAGAGAGAGAGAGGGGCGATCATGCATGGCAGAAAAAATCTCGAGAGCGTGTTTGTGTGAGGTGAGGTGAGAGTCGAAGCGAAGAGTATATGAAGGCCTTTCACTTGTGGCAGCAGAGCAACTTTATTCAGTCGGTGAGTGATCGCAGCGAGCGAGCGAGCGACTGACAAAGCGGCCTTGGATCACGTGCAACCGCAGGCCTACGCCTAGGCCTAGGCCTAGCTAGAGCTCAGCCCAGACCCGAGGCCTGGTTGGTCGCTGGTCTCCCTCTCTCTCTCCCGTGCCCACCGCCAATAGACTCCGACTCGCTGGCTGGTACTGTACTGTACCACTCCCTAGCCAGGCCGTACGCACACTGGCACACTGTACGCAAAAAACAAAAAACCCTGACCCATTCCGCGCGTTGGTCTTTACGCCTTCCTGCGGGTTTTATCAGCCGGACCCGATCCATTTTCACCCGGCCACGCGCGCGTGCGGCTGAGGACCTTGCCCGGACATCGCCCTGTACCGTACGCACGCATAAATACGGCTACGGTGTATGCGCTCGTACGTGCATGCCCAGGGCTCCGTGCGTGCGTACCACGTATACACACATCTACCCTATTCGTCCTACCAACGCTATCGTGGTCTTTGTAGGTGTATTGGCATCTTCATGGACTTGGCACATCAAAATAACCAAGTTGAGAGTCAAACCTGAGAAGTTCCAGGCACCAGATGAAGGCCCTATGAAGTATTTTGATGTTTTGACATTTATTAAGGTGCCCATATTGAAGATCCAGGGCCCCATACACATCGGGCTTTTCTCTACCAATCCAACGAGCCCAAGAACGTCAAAATCAGAGTTTATATGAAGGAATGACAACCAAAATACGAAAGTGCTCCCGGAATAGAGAACGTATGGCACCCTTCCATGCGAGCAAAGCCGCTCGTACAATCTCCACACAGCTTCGTATTGCCGATCTTGCTCCAATTCCATCCCGGTTTGTTTCCATGGTATCCTTGGCAGATAAGGCATCCTTTGAGCGTAGATTTGACTCCCCTAGAATCCTTGGATAAAAGGGAGGATGCTACATCAATGGAGAAGACCCCGAGGGGGCCTCGTATATGAAGAGCTCCAACCCTAGCCATTGTAACCATCATCCTCATTCCCACACAAGTCCACATGGCCGCCGGGAGGCTCTCCCATCTCACCTTGTGGGAGGCCTCTCTCTCTCTCTCTCTCTCTCTCCATCACCATCACCATGAAGGCCACGCGAGAGGAGGAGAAGGAGGCGCCGCCACCATCACCAGGCGCCGGCCATAGGCCGGGCGCGCCGGTGGCCATCTCCATCTCCATCCTCGTACTTGTATTTTGTAAGATTAAACATGTTGATGGCAACAATAAATCATTCCTCTTTGTGTGCCGTTCATCTATGTTGGAGTAATTAATTCGTTTCTAGGTTGAGGTATGATCTAGTAAGCACAACTATTCTTTGTAGCTTAGTTTAGTATTTACTCTCTTTCGCGTTGCATGTATGTTACATGCACTTACACGGTGTAGATAGATGAACTTCATGATCCTTTGGTTCCATTGTGTATTATTGACAGCCCTGTGGATGCAAACCCTAGGAGAACGTTTAGTAGTTTATAATACTTGTATGCCACTAAGACGCTCCTCTAGTACTAGTGAGACCGAAAGCCTGGATACCGCCTTTTGCTCTATGCAATCATACACGTACAATCCCTTCTACTTTGTGTTCTAGTTTAGTATATTTTCTCTCATACTTTGTAGTCTAGTTAAAACCCCCGTTTATTATCATCCCGCTATTTCTGAACTAAGGTTTGGGTGCGAATGTAGCTACGTAGACAACATAGTTGCGGGGTTGATAGTGTCTTCCTATTAGCTCTTTGTGGGTTCGACACTATTTATCACACGGAAGTGCTACAACCACTACTAGGGAAAAGCCTAGCAGCAGCGTGGGTTTTAGGTATAGCAGTAGCGCGGGGACCCGCGCTACTGATACGACGCTACAGCTAACCTGTAGCAGCAACGCGTGTTCGCCCGCGCTAATGCTATGCAAGCGTAGCAGCAGCGAGCAATACGGAAGCGTGCTACTGCTAATAGCTCTAGCGCACTTAATTAGGCTGCGCTACTGCTAGCGGCACGCTGCTGCTAACTTTTCTCCACCCGCTACTGCTAATTTTATTAGTTTTTTTTCTGCATATTTGTTTTGTATTTGAACAGGCTTTATACAAGAATCTTTAGCACATACAAATGTCATCATCTTACACATACAAATGGCTGCGGGACCACAAATGTAACCATATCATATATATACAAATAGTCTCATCTTAATCATCATCCAACACAAAGTGGTCTCTCGTCATCATCTCGAAAATAGCGATACATGCAAGTCTCGAATACTTGCAATTACAACGTCATCCATCTAAACAATGATATACGCAAGAAGTGCTACCACTATGAGTGATAGCGGAACTATGCAGTACATGAGGCGGCGGTTATGAGGCCTCTCTCGCGCTAGCATGAACCTCAAGTAACTAGCTTGTGCTTCTTGTTCGCTTTTGAATCCTTTATGTCTGGCTCCCGAGACCCCCTCCACTTGCGCCTGACACTCATACCACTCGTCGTACACTCCAGGAACCTTCCCTTCGTACATGACATAGCACTGCTTCGCCATCAAGAATCTAGGTACCTGTTAGAGATGCATCTTCATCAAGAGAATGTACGATCATATGCAACAAAATATACCAGAGCAACACGAAAACGAAGGGTTAGCAACTAGATGCAACATATAGCACGCAAACTAATTAACTAGAGGTAAGCATGTCATCGTACCCAAACTAACAAAGTAGTGTTACGCAAGTTCAGCAGGGACCGCGGACATCACAAAGTTTAATCGCTACAGAAAGTATACAAGTTCAACCGACACATATCATCGTCACCGGCATCGTAAATCACTAGAAGTTCCATCCTTCCATATCATCAAGGATGGACCCTAGCTTCTTGAACGGCGTGAGGTCATGACATTGCATGCCTATGTGAGTTCGGAGTCAGCTTGCGATATAGGGCCGTGGTGGAACATCCCCTTCTCATCGACGACTTCTTTCATGATGATCGTCGCAATGTCCCTTTGGATGCAAAAGAAGTCATCTCTAAGTTTATAATCCGCTTCTCCATGAGATTCAACCCATTTGCGGATATGATCATCATTTCTGGTTGTCATATGAAGCTTTTGGTGATCCGTGTTGGACTCAATCATGAGATGGAGGAGGTAGAATCCATCTTTCTTGCTTGGTTTTGGGACATGGAT